GGGTGCTATCCAGCCACACCACCTCCTCCTCCTTTGGGCTGGGGCCTGCAGGGCCCACGTAGGGACCCAGCCCTGCCACAGCCACCTCCTGCTCAGGGGCTGCAAGGAGCCAGGGCAGGCACAGTGGGGGGTGCAGGCACCAGGATCTGGTGCAGAGGCTGAGGGCCCTGTCTTCTGTACGTTGCACTGTACCTGCTGGCACACTCACTGGGGGGCATGAGGCAGGCCTGCAGGCGGCTGCCAGGGGCCAGCCGGGGCTGGGGTCGAGGTTGGGGCCTGGACACTGGGTGTGGAGCCAAACATTGCCAGTGCCAGCACAGAGTCAGTGACACGCTGGTCATCCTCAGCAACAGCCGCTGCCCGTCGTACCACATCACGCTGGTCCTCCAGGGCCTCCACCAGCCTCTGCAGGAGGGCGTGGTGGGCCTCACTCTCCGCCCGCCGTGCCTCGCGGTCTTCACGATCTGACCGCTCCATGGCCTGCCACATCCTGCGGAACTCCTGGAGCCAGCGGCGGTGCCAGGTCCGACTCTCCTCGAGCTGCTCCTCAGAGACGGTCACCAACCGATCGAGGAGAGCCGTCCGATCCTGGCTCCGGCGCTGACGGAGCCGGCGCATGCGGAGTGCACCTGCAGAGGCTGCAGGTGGCCTTGGGGCCCCATCTCCCCTAATGCCAGGTGGTTCTCCCCCATGTCCAGCAGCTGGTTCTGCAGAGCAAGGACAAAGAGGCTACTTGTGAGAATTTGCAACATTTCAGAGATAACATGCATTGTACAGAGAGGCTGTGTGCTGCCTGCCCTCACTTCGGGGGTTATGCACACACAGGCAACCAGGGACCATGGTAAGTGGCCCAGGAGGCTCCTTCCACAGGTGGCTGTCAGATGAGACTTCCCTCCCCGCTTCCACAGCGGGGGCAGGTGGGCTGCTTGCCACAAGCAGCCTGCCTTCCCCATACCCTACTCAGGCCAGGCCATGCCAGCCCCCTCACCCCCCCCGGCAGCTGCCATGGTGGCTCAGAATCAACTCCCCTCCTTCTCCTCCCTACAGGCCAGGAATTTTGCTCCTGTGTTGCCGGGCGGCGGCACCCGGGTCCTAGGGGTCAGGGGCACCCACCTGGCTTGAACATGGACCAGGTAATACCCCCCACCTCCCTCCAGCAGGCCTGCCCGGGGAGGCACCCCAGGCCAAGGCCCCCACTGCATGCAGGCTGCGCCCAAGCATGCTCCTGGTCAGAATCACCTGGGCATGCCACAACTAACTGTTTGAGCACTCCAAAGGCTTCCCGAACCACTATGCCCTGCTGCTGGTGATCACAATGGTTCTCCAGGAGCAACTGAGAACCTGGCACAAGTCCCTAAGCTTCAAGGGTGCCCCAGGCAAGCTCATGTTTCTCTGCAACATGCGCCACCACCTGGAGGGGTATCTCTGCCTACACTAAAAGTACCTGACTTGTACCTGCTGCCTATACTACAAGTACCTTCAGCCGAGGAGGAGATCGCCACTGCCATCGACGAGTTTCTCTGCGTGTGATGGGCCCCTAGCTGCCTAGCTGGGAGCCTGTGGGGTGCTTAATAAAGTCCTGAACTGCCCCTGCCTCCCTGCGGGAGGGAACTTGGCCAGGCAGGAGGAGGAGGGAAAAGAAGAGGAGGGGAGGGTCCCCCACCCCCGCGTGCAGGATCGCTGGCTACAAGTGCACAATGCGGGAGTGGGTGGGTGAGCTGATGCGGGCACAAGTGGCCACAGCTCCCTCAGCCCCTGGCCCTCCTTCCTGTGTGGGGCTTACCGGGCGGGTGTGGCAGCCGCTCCCGGCGGTCGGACGATGTCCCTGGCCGCGGAGATGAGGTCCGGCTGGCCGATGCATCCAGGAGCGGTGAGGCGCGGCAGGTGGCCGGCCGAGCAGTGGGCCCCTCCCGTGACGAGCCGGAGCTGGCATCTGCAGGGGACATCCCCACCCTGTCCTCCTCGCTGGTGGGCCGCCTCTGGAATAGCTGGGGCAAGTGGTGGCCCGGGCTGTCTGAGCTGCCGGGTGAGGCTGAGGGCGGGGAGCGTGCCGGGACCTGGTGAGGGAGCCATGAGGTGCCCTCCCCTGGAGAGTCCTCCTGACCCGCAGCCCCTGGCGCAGGCTCCTCAAGTCCACCCGTGCTACAGAACACAGGAGGGGCCTCAGTAGGGCCTGTGGGGGCCAGGATCCTCTCGAGCTCACGGAGAAAGGGCATGGTTCTGGGGGCAGCCCCAGGCTGCCTATTATGGTCCTGGACGCGGACAAATTGCGCCCTCAGGGCCTTGGCCTTCACCCGGCACTGGTGGCCGGACCGCCGGTGACCACGCTCCTGCATCCGCCAGGACATCTCCTGGAACACGTGGGCGTTGGCCCTGGTAGCACGGGCAAACTGCTGCTGGACGCTGATGTCCCCCCAGATGGCAATGAGGTCGGAGGTCTCCTCGTGTGTCCAGTTGGGCCCCCGTCCCTGGGTGTCAAAGGGTGGGGGGCCCGACATGGTGGCGGCTGAGAGCAGGCTCGGTGGGTGGCAGCGGGTTCAGGGAGCCTCTGGCAGCTGGCAGTGGTCGGCAGCAGGCTCAGTGGCGTAGGGCTGTGGCTGGTGGCAGCGGTGTGGCCCAGTGTCCAGGGTGCAGGCCCAGGCCGGCAGGGGGCACGGGAGGGTCAGCCCCAGGCTCCAGGTTGTGGTGTTGGGCGGAGGAAGGGCTGGCTGGGGCGCAAGGGTGCTGAAGTGTAGAGCCGTGTGGTTAGGCAGCAGGCAGGAGTCTGGCCCCCTGCTGGCTAGGCTGACCAAATGCAATTTACACCCACAGTCTACACATGCATCTACACGTGCATTTAATCACAGTAAATTACCCTGCCGTAAGATAGTACTCATCTCCGACTGAGTTAATTACTTTTCTGCAGCCTAATACTGCCGCACGTGTAGACAGTGATGCTTTACTGCGAAGCAAAACAGTCTACTCTGCAGTAAAGCACACGTGTAGATGTGCCCCATGTGTGCAAATATGATTTCCCATCCTCTGGTACAATAAATGTAATTTCGTTTATATACCTATTTTCTATGATACATAGCCTATCAAACCATGAGGGCATGTAGATCTACATGAAGATCAATGCTGACTCTGTCTCAGCAAGAAATGTTCAAGGAAGAACGGTAAAGTGGGCCCCAGAAATTGAACTGTCTTTACCTTCAAAAAGAATCAATCCTTTCTTTGGGGAGAATGTTGTCTTTTGATGGAAGGCTCTGAGACAGAGCAGCTATCTTTGAGTTCCTCACTGCTGTTCTTCAGAGCTTTGGTACCTACATCAGGACAAGAATCATACATTAGTACAGAGCATGTTCTCCTCTCCTTACATGTACGTATGTCATTTAAGGAAGTGGTTAACATGGTAACAAAACAAAGTTTCCCTGGTTTTTTAAAAATAAAATGAGTTACATATTCAATGGCATACCCCCATAATTCCAATAATTAAACAAACTCAACAACAAGTAACGAATAAAACAAATTCTACAATTCTCTTCATTTTTTCCTCAGCACAGAAAACCTGCTAAGAGTAACATTACTGGCCAGATCAAATTCCATCTATTAAGTGCCTAAGACAATGATTCTGAAGCAGTGAGCCATGGCACCCTATGGTGCTTGATATCCTTTCAAGGGGGCCACAGGGTGCCATACAATGCTAGAAATCCAGTGTTAAAAAGATTTGGCCCTGTTGTGGTTTTTCTGAGTTCTCTGCAACAGAAAAGTTGCTCTAGTATTCATAGTCAAGAAATGAATGAAAGCTATGAGCTGGCATTTTCTAACAGGTGCCTCAAGTCTAAAAAGGTTGAGAACTACTGGTTTAATGCATTTGAGTGCAATCCTATCCCAATCAGCTCAAATCCCTGAAAAAATAGTAATGCCTATACTATTGTCCAGCTTAGCCTTAAGACTAAGTCACAAAAGGTAACAAGGAGGATGAGGGTCAACTCAAATTTACATTAACAACTTTCCTGGACTTGTATAGTTGGAGAATAGGATTCTACTTAAACCCTTGGGCTAGGGACAGAAAGTACACATAAACCCGTATAAGTGATTGGAAACCAGTTCAAATCTGTTACACAACAGAAGTTCAGTACACATAAACCACTTTCAAAATCGCTGAAATTGGTTGAATATGAACCTGGATAGATGTAGTATCAGAATTAACTGATTTAGGAAAAATTAGTGTATTGAATTTCTGTCCCATATCCCCTCCAGATTCAAGTTAACTCACAGTCCCCCTGCATCCCAGGATGCTCCGCACCTCCCCTGCAACCTCCCCCACCCCTCCAGTTGAGTAGTTGGGCTAGCCTTGACCCAAGCTGTCTGCTCCAGCCAAGCAGGGAGGCATGCCTCTAGCACTCCCCTGCTTCTGGCCTGCAGACATGTGGCTCCATTTTCAGAATCAAAAGTGAATGCTTGTTCACTTGCTTCTCAGTTCAATCTACACAGTTAAAACTAACCTATGAAGACTGAATTGGTTCAGGGTTGGGCCTTTTTGACTGGCTGTACTTAGCCCTCTATTCGTAAGTACCACTTAGACACCTAACAGGTAGAAGATGTTCTGGTGCACTGTTTATAAACAGTAGCATAAGAAATTAATTGTATTTGGTCTGCATAAAGACCAAGAAAATATGCACATATTTATCAGTCTCATTCCACATGCACAAGTCTACCTTGCAATTTCTGAAAAACACTGATAAACACCATGTAAGGGACTAGATACATAAGATAGACCCAGTCAACTTATATGAGAATTTTCTATGTCTGTAGGTCATTCAAACAAACCAAAATTTTCCCACAATTAAATCTACAGTGTTATCATGACAATCAGTTTATTTTAAGACTGTCAACCCAATATATACATTTCCCTTTGTGCTTAAAATGTCTTTATCTGATAAGATAGCTTTTGTTTAAACTGCTATTTTCAGCCTTTGCTTTGGGGATTTTGAAAACACACAGTGAAGTAACTTGAGATTTCCTACCCTGTTTTAAAATGTATTTCTTCTGTCTGTTTGTATTTTGTAATTTCCTGTCAAATAACCTCACCATAATTAACTTTCCTTGCTCCAACCTACTTTTTAAAAAAAAAACTATTCCCACTTCCTGAGGATGGTAATAAAATGCTGATTACATTCGGCTGTTATCTGCCCTTTTTCCCCTCATTCCCCCCCCCCACTCCCTTTGTCAAAAATGGCACTCAGGTTTCAACTCTTCATGGACTGAAAGAAGCACGTAATAGAAAGAGGAAGCAAATCAGACTGCAGGAATCCAGATTCATTAGAGTTTATTGGGTCAATCTGCTGCTGGATAGGAGCCAGACAATTAGGTAGTGCTGCTCCTGAAGTCTGGATATGTCGGTCTCTTTCCAATGCTAAATGAACTCCACAGGGCCCACATTAGCCAGCAAAGACCAGCATGATGCCCTCCAATAGTGGTGGTGTGGGTCTGAAGAGGAGACAGAAAGCTCATTTCCCAAGAGGGAAGAAAGGAGCACATCCTGCTGCTTCAAATATTTTTTTTTAAATTACTTAAGAAAAAGCTGATCTCACTTTTTGTTTTGCAGAACCAAAAATCTCTAAACACAATGACAAAATTTGCTTTTTTTTTTTTTGCAATTTACTTACAAAATCTGTCATTGCTCACTAATATACTCTACACAGAAAATGTATATAATACTTCTGCTGCCTATTCTTACAAAAGTCAGATTATGTAAATGTCCTACTGCACACACAAGACATGCATCTGGTGACTTCCACCTCCCTCAGTATTTCCATCCATTCTTGTTTCCTTACTTATGTCTCCCCCTCATCCTTTTCCAGTTCCTTTTTTTTTTTTTTTTTTAAAGCTTCTATAGCTTCTACAGCTATCCCCAAATCTCCTCTACCTTAACTGTACACTCACTGAAAGAGCAGTCTGCAGTCAGTACATTCAGTTCCACTCCTCTATTGCTATCTTGGATCCCTTCCAATCTGCTTCTAGCTATTTCTACCCTGCTGAAACTGCACATGGGTCTTCCTAGCCGAATCTCAAGAACCCTAGCTTGCCCTCATCTTCCTTTGCCTCTTTTGATAAAGTTAATCATCCTCCTCTCACCATCTTATCCTCACTGAGCTTTCATGATATGTAATTAGCTGTCTCCGTTTTCCTGACTGTCCTTTTATCATCCTTTTTGTTTGGGTCTCCCATGCTCTGTAGCAGTTCTTAAAAAAACTCTGCTCTTGACTCTCTGTTCTTCTCACTTAACACCCTTATTTTGGGTGATCCCATTAGCTCCCACAGTTTTAGCACTCTATGTTGATGACTTGCAAATTTCTTTGCACTGCTAAACTGCTTCCTTTCCATTCAGTCATGCCTCTCATCTCACACATCCTCTGTTTTGTCATTATCTCAAACCACACATGGCCAACACTAAACTCCTTTCTTCCTTTCATAACTACTTCTCTTCCTTCCTTTGCCCCGCTTTCTGTCAATATCATCATACTACTATGCACAAGCCAGCAATCTGAGAGTTGTTTTTCATTCCAATTCCTGCCACTTCTTCCACGATCCATCCTTTTCTTTACACTTCTACAGCTAACTCTCTCAATGTCTCTTTCAATCTCTTTCCCAGTATAAGAATTAGCAAGACTCAGACATATGCAATATGAAATCCTTAATAGATGAGATGTACGTCCCATGTTTCCTTTGCTAAAAAACCAATGAGCATATCAAAAACATGAGGTTAGGTTGGACCAGTTGACTCAGGCTTCATTTTAGCTAATTTTCTATTTAATGCTCCGTCTTTAATTATTCATCCCTACAAAATTTGTTCTAACGCACTGCATACGACTGAGGTAAGGCTAACGGGTCTTGAACAAATGGCATGAAAACTTTCAGAGATCAACTAGAAATACTTTGCTTGATACCTCCTATGATCACAGTTTACAGTCAAAAGCTAGGTCTTCTCATCAATCATTTTCAACTGATGACTTCACAGTTTACAGAAGAAATTCTTGTTGTTAGCCCCCAGGTACATGACCCAAAATTCTGTACTGTGATTTTGAACTCATGTCTTTTATTCCAGTCTTCAAAGTTGTCAAAACTGTTCTGCATGATAGCCTGGTAGTAAGAATGCCTCCTAACACTGCGGTATTTAGCAAATTTATTCAGCCACCTCCTAGTTTTTTCCCAACATCATTAATGAAAATATTAAGTAAGATCGGTTGCAAGACCTATCTTTGAGGAAATCCACTAATAACTTTACCTCAGCTTAATACTTCCCCTTTCAACAGTAACCATTGCTGTCTCTCCTTCACAGCCAGCTCCTTACCCACCTTATAACAAGCACCCCTGCCGCCATTTTTAAGCGCAGGGATGCTGATACACAAGACACAGGAGGCTGCTGCAGTGTGGTAGTTGCCCTGCCCTAGCAGACCCAGCTAATCAAGTCTGCTCTGACATGTTGGAAGTCCAGTTAAAGCAGCCTCCGCACTTGTGTATACTTGCCCCAAAATTTGTTCTAAAGCACTGAATACTACTGAGGTAAAGCTAATGGGTCAGTAGTTGCCAGGATCCATTTTCTTTCTGTTTTTAAATTTAGGTTCTACATTTGTTATTATCTGATCATAAAGTAAACTGATATTTCTGAGTGGTTAGCTGTTACCTTCAAGTCAGACAGAAAGCAGGGAAGGGTGCTACTTTGGAGACTAACTGGTTCAGAGAAGCATGAGCTAACTCTCTCATAGGCAACAACCTACTTTGTCAGATGCATCTGAACTAGTTAGTCTCTTAAGGCGCCACCTTGTCCTACCTTCTGTCTGACAGATTTGGTAAACAGACTTAAGATTTCAGTTGCCAGTTCCTTTAGGATTTAAGGATAAAGATTATTCAGTCTCCCAAATTTCAACACATTAAGCTTTTTGAGCTTCCACCTTAACTGTGCTATTTCCCTTTCCTATACCTTTCCATTCCCTTGAAATAGGGTGACCAATCCATCCACCTTGCACACACATGGCAGCAGCAGTGCCTGCCTGGTGCACCATGCTACCCCAGCGGACTCCACTCCAGGACTTTTGACCGACTAGCCAAGACCAGGCTACGGAAGCTGGAAGTGTCCCGGGAACATATGGTTACCCTACCTTTAAACGTTCCACCCTTACTCAATAGCATCATCATATTGAAAAGTGAGGCTAAAACATCTTTGGGACATAGCAAAATTATCTTTAATCTCTACCCCCTGCTCACAGAATTGCCACCCTGCTAGTCCTTTATCTTCTTTATTTATTTGCATAGCTGA